AAATATAACTTATTTTTAATATAATTTTATACATTTTAAACATAAATTATTTAAATATGACTCATTTTTAAATATAACTTATTTAATTATTTTATATTTAAATATAACTTTTTTTGTTTTTGGAAATTTGCTTTTAAATATGACCTTGCATTGTTACATAACTTTATTTATTTTAAACGATTTCTAAACCCTCTTTTATTCCTCTCTTGTTTTACATTTCATTCTTCATATAAACCTAATTTAATATCATAAGATTAATATCCGGGTTCATTTTTATGAAACCTCTTCCCTTTAAGACAAAAACCTACCACCCTTACCTGACCACTGTCTCGTGCCTTTCGTCTGACTGAAACATTGAAATGGATACATTCTGTATAAGTTTTTGGGATTTCCATTTTTTCTTTTCTTTTTTTTTTTTTTTTTGTAGCTTTCACAGTCAAATTTCAAAATTCCGACACGAACTCAGTTTATATTGGGGTTGAATACGACTGACGAAATAAGCTTATTCCCCATATAAGGTGATTTTGGATTTTAATGTGTATTAATATATATATATATATATATATATATATATATATATATATAGCCGGGCTTTCCCGACGATCCGTTTAAGTGAAAACTGGGTAGGTTTGTCTGGCTCACTAGGTTTATATATATATATATATATATATATATATATATATATATATATATATGTGTGTGTGTGTGTGTGTGTGTGTTATAAAAATATACATATATACAGATATACTTGCACGTATATATAAATAAATGTGTTCCTCAGGTTTCATAAATACAGTGCTCAAATTTTGTAACATTTTGAGTTAAAGCATCAAGGCCTGTTTCATCCTCAAGCAAAAATTTAGGAATACTTTAAGTCAATTTAATTTTAATAATTATATTGCGGTTTTCGGCTCTCGTTTTTGAAACATGTGAACTCTTATGTAGCGAAGGAATCATATTTTTAAAAAATAATTATATTTTAAGCTCTACTTCTGTATGTAGCACTGTGTTTTTTAAAAAATAAAAGCAAAAGTACTAAAGAACCCCGGATTATTTACCTAACGTGTTCTTTCTTATTTTCCTACATATCTGCACGTATATATATATATATATATATATATAGAGAGAGAGAGAGATAACACAAGCCTCTGATAGAAAGATATAGACAGTGAAGATGCGAGTAATTGTGATATACAAGAGATATGAAAAGAGTGAGAAACAGAATGATTGAAAAGTAACTCCCTATATTATGCATAATGGACGCTTCCATCTTGTAAATACTATATTTAGATGGCAGAGTCCATCATACATAAAATAGGGAGTTACTTTTAATTTCATTTTACATTCACTCTCATTGCCACCCTCCCTCTATATATTTCACATCACTCTCATTTACTCTCTCCCTCAATATAATCGACATAATTCTCATTGCCTTTCTCTATATATATATTCCCATTCACTCTCATTGCCACCCTCCCTCTATATATTTTACTACCCTCTTATTGTCACTCTCTCTATATATTCCACTTCAACACGTTTATATATATATATATATATATATATATATATATATATATATATATTTCCCTTTCATAAAGAAATAAAATAAAATAAATAAATCCGTATAGACCCGTAAACCAGACTAGGCTAAAACATCTTCCGTTTCAAATATAGACACCCCCCACCTTACCCTGACTTGACATCTATGAAAGTAACTCTATACTGATACTTATTATTAACACCCAACACCCGCCTACCCAATTTAAACAATTCGCCCTAGCTGTTACCATGGAAATTTTGATTTCAATTATTAAAACACGTAAATTTCAGAAACACGTTATTCCAAAAAAAATTTCGCTTGATGATGGAACAGAGCTTATTTTAACTCAATTTAATTTAAATAATTATATTGAAGTTTTCGGCTATTGTTTTGAAACATGAGACCTCTTATGTCACGAATTGGAATCATTTTTTTAAATAAATAATTATATTTATGCTCTACTTTTTTTATCGAGCACTATTTTTTAAAAATAATAACTAAAATACTAAGGAACTTTGGATTATTTACCTAACCAGTTCTTTCCTATTTTCTATATATTTTCACCCCCCATATATATATATATATATATATATATATATATATATATATATATATATATATATATGCCTATGATTAAAGACTAAAGTAAAAAGATGTTTCATATCACTTGACTTTGATATGAGGAATTCATTTTGTAATAAATATTTCTAAACAAATTAAACATTCAAAGAGCCGCTCATAAACTATGGAGGTTGTAATTATATATATATATATATATATATATATATATATATATATATATATATATATATATGTGTGTGTGCAGGACGTAATTATATTTGTATATATATATATATATATATATATATATATATATATATATATTATGCGACAGGAGAGAGGAACTGTTTGCACCTGCTGTCGTATTTGGTCTTTGATTAAAATCTGTGCAGGTGGGTGAGTTTAATATAAAGAAAAAAACAGCAGAAATTCCTTCAGGTTATTTACGATGAAAAGAAAAAAAAATATATATATATATATATTTATAGTCGTAGACTCAGTAACTGTAATCACAGAATGGGTAAAAAATAGGAAAACACAATATCCGATTGTATATTCGAGAAAAAAAACCAATGCACGCCAGCCCAGACCCCACATCTCAAAAGGCCAAATATGGTTTGAAAGAAAGAGAAAAGAGAGAGAGAGAAAAAAAAAAAAAGAAAGAAGATTTCTGGAGGTGTGTGAAAAGAAGGAAAAGTCAGCTAAATAAAGAAAAAAAAACAAAAGAAAAACAAAACAAAAAAAAAAAAAACACGAATAACGTGCCTGGAGAAAATCCGAGAAATTCTTTCAACATTAAACTGGATACTTTCATCAACATATATTTTTGGCTATTTTGATGCGTTTGCATAATTTTGATAAGAGAAGATCACTCAATCCAACATTTCTCTTTTTTTTTTTTTTTCTTATCGATCTCCTAAACCAATATTTGTAATTGGTAAAATAAATATAGCTTCATTTGCTTTCCAACTACAGTCACTCCTCACTTAACGACCGGATCCCGTTCCAAGTCCCTGCGAGTTGGTCGTTAAACGGGGAATAGTATCTCGACTTCTATTCCAGACATACTGCCCGTGAAGATAAGGAAACAAAATGGGGAAAAAAAATCTATAAATGACGCGTTTTCCCTTAGAAGGTCTGTTCTCTCGGGATTCTTCAGTTTAGAATGAAAGAAGGATAAAACTATATGAAAGGTAACACACGTTGAAATCCCTGAGAATAAAACTGGCGGGGAGACAATAAACCAAATTACATGAACGCAAGCGTTGATCAGACCCTGGCGAATATCTGCCAGTTTGATACATAACAACAAACGACTCTCTCTCTCTCTCTCTCTCTCTCTCTCTAATATATATATATATATATATATATATATATATATATATATATATATATATTATTATTAAAAAATTATTATTTAAAAAAAAATTGACATAAATATGTTATAAAATCACTACAAAATAGCCATTTTAGTTCAACAACTCCGGCGTCTTATCAAGGATGATGTTGAATGTAAAATAAATGGTTTTAAAAGTTTCAAATTAATTAACGATCCTTAGTAAGGGAAAACGTTGTTACAAAAGCTAGAATGACCAATCAATATATATATATATATATATATATATATATATATATATATATATATATATATATATATATTATATATTTCAATTATAGGTGCAGTTCAATTCATAATTACATGAATCATTCATACAAAAACAAATATAGAAGTTAATGATTTAAATGGCGAAAATACATCTTCGCGAACAATATAAATATAAATCAACCCCAAACCTGTATATGAATGATATGATCCCTGTTTATAAATTCCAGTTGCATAAGGTCTTTTTTAGTTTTTACAAGCTTTCGTCTGTTCCTAGAGACATCCTCAGGTATGGAAATAGATTTGTTCTTGTTTTTTACTTCTCGCTAATAACAGGACAACGAAAATAGAGATGTAATCCGAAAAAATGCTATGAGAAATGTGTTATTGTTTTGGAACATGCGGTCGCAACGCTGAGTTTGAATTTTAAATTTTAAGGTTGTGCGTTTTTGTACAAATATAGTAATAAGAGAATTCTTTTGTACTGGTAGGTTTTCCGTCAATGTGGCATGAACTATATTGTTCATTAATTACAGGAATGTCACACTTATTATCCGAAAGTTGCACGTTGGATCAGTTATTTTAATTTCGATTATAGGTGCAGTTCAATTTATAATTACATGAATCATTCATACGAAAAACAAATACATCTTCGCAAACAATTTCAATAAGATACACTAACCCCGAACCTGTATATTTTTGTATGTTTTTTTTCGGATTACATCTCTATTTTCGTTGTCCTCTTATTACCGAGAAGTAAAAACAAGAACAAAATCTATTTCCATAGCTGAAGATGTCTGTAGGAACAGACGAAAGCTTGTAAAAACTAAAAAAGACCTTATGCAACTGGAATTTATAAACAGGGATCATATTATTCATATACAGGTTCGGGGTTAGTGTATCTTATTGAAATTGTTTGCGAAGATGTATTCTCGCCATTTAAATCATTAACCTCCATATTTGTTTTTTGTATGAATGATTTATGTAATTATAATTTAAACTGTACCTATAATCAAAATATATATATATATATATATATATATATATATATATATATATATATATATATATATATGAGCCGTTTTGCGGCAAAACAAACAGGCAAAGCCTGTCTGGGATCTGGTCATCCGATGCGATAATGTAATTTGATTATGGTCGCTACTTATCCTCAAAGATTACAACGTCCTTTTTCTTACACAGTTTTGTCTTTTTTTCATTCTCACCTGAAGACGCCAGAGAGAGCAGACGTTGTCGTAGAATCGCTGCATTTATATCTTTTTTCCACGTGTCTCATAGCTTTTTCTTTGTTTCAGATAGTATTATAAATCTCCCAGCACCTATACTCGCCTGCAAATGTGTTTGTGTCAACCAGCTTCAGATAGCTTTAAATTCCCATTTGCATCCTTAGGAAGATTTATACATTATTTCTAAATTTTTTATACACTACAGCAGTGCGCTGTACATAAAAATTAATTAACCCATTCAAAAATTCTGTAAATCTCTTCGGCTTGCCTAATGTAAATACATCAATTTTAAAACATTATTTTCAGTTTCTATAACCGTTTGCTTCATTTTTATTCCATTTTGAAGATTGGCTGATTTATTTTTTACGACTTACCAACCTTTTACAGGTTGTTTAAAGCCTGAAGATATTCTAGATTGCAAGAAATTTTGAGATTAATAATGATTTATCTGTCTATATCTTCATTGCCGTATTCACAACGTTTCGGCCTCTATATCTCTGAAATGAGGTATTATGATTAATTGCATTATTTACATTATTCGGACTGTTATCTTCATTGCCATATTCAAAACGTTTCAGCCTCTATATCTTTGAGATGAGGTATTATGATTTCTTGCATTATTTACATTATTCGGACTGTTATCTTCATTGCTGTATTCACAACCTTTCGGCCTCTATATCTCTGAAATGAGGTATTATGATTAATTGCATTATTTACATTATTCGGGCTGTTATCTTCATTGCCATATTCACAACCTTTCGACGATTGGAATTTCGTCGAACCTTTATTTCGTCCACCGGGGTAGATTTTTCTAGTTCCACGTGCCATGTAAAAACATGTAATGCTAACAGCAAAATATTGCAATATGAGTACTGGTAGAAAATGGTCTCTGAAGATATTTATAATACTTAGAAATACATACGAATTCGTTGGCTGGATCCAGTGACAGGACCCAGGACAGGAGATGATTGATAACTGACATCTATTAAACATGGCACGTAGAACTAGAACAGTCTATCCCAGTGAGCGAAAAGAAAAGGGTTTAGTTCAACATTCCAACCACTGGAAGAAGGCCGGAGTGTACAATGGCCGAAATGTTGTAATAAATATGGCGACAAAGATGAGGACAATAGTCCGAATAATGTAAATAGTGTAAACACTTCTAACAACACTATCAAGGTTGTGATTTGACCAAAATATATTGAAATGGCTAGATGTAACCGTGATTTTTTTCTCTCGCACTTCTTGCTTGTGAAACTATCTGCCGGCTTCTTGTTTTTCCAGTCAACTTTGAACTTCAAAAATTTAAATGGAGTTTCAATCGTTATCTTTTGTCTTCTTAATTCCTGTTCTTTCATTGGTCTCTCTCATAATATATTTTTTCTATTTCTCCTGTTCTTTAGCACGCAGTAACACACTTGCGTCTTAGTGGCTTTATTGCCTTGCTTGGAATGAAATGATTAAAAAAAAAAGATCATCGGGCTAAGATCGCTAACGGAATGGTCATTTATTAAAAATGTGTTTGGCATCGATTCACCGTAGTCGAGCCGCAAACGGGGATAGAACTCTGTATCGATGTATCTATGGGATGAGCTCGTTAACCATAGGGCTGTGTTTGGCGGTTGCCTATTATAAAAATGATTCTAATTGTGATGTGATGAAGGACAAAATGAAAGAGAGAGAGAGAAAGAGGAAGAGTGTGAGTATATTTTAAAAATAAAGACAATTAATAAGTGTTGTTAATTACTGTCAGTTTCCAATGCTGGCATGACCGGAAGTTGTCACTGACGCCATTTTTATTTTCCCATTTTCCTTCTCCGCATCAATTAAAACAGATTTCAATTTGAATGACGTCACGTAATAAAAGCGGACCTCACAGAAGCCCTGTAATTACATTTTTGAAAATGAAACGTTATTTTATACACAATGTATTCCCCCCAATTAACCGTACCGCGTCATCTCCGTCGGCGGAGTTCTAATTTTGTACGGTACGCTTATTATTCTTCAAATAATACACGTATTTAGGAATTCCTGATAAAATCCAAATAAGAATCTGCAATATTATAGGTCCTGACATGCCATCTCGGCTACAGTCACTTTTCCACTGTCGTAACGTATCTTTTGTTATAAATTTTTTTTTGGTAATTTTTCTGATGTGATTTTCCCTTTGGGACCTAGACTTTATAAATTTAAGAAGATTGGCAGCAATATCTTATCACTTTACAGTTTAAATGTCTGGGTGAAACCGTAAGTTCTATGCTAAGACTTTCTTCTCTCGCACTTCTCGCTTGTAGAAGTTTCTTCCAGATTCCCAGTCAAGTTTGATCTTTAAATATTTAAATCGATAAGTCGATCGATATCTACTGTTTGATTAATTCTTTTTCTTTTATTGTTCACACTTCTCTAACACTCAGTAACCTCTTTACGTCTTAGTGGCTTTATTGCCTTGCTTAGGGGGAAATGATTAAAAAAAATGCTGTTTTTGCTAAGTGTGAAGTCCCTTTATATTTATAGAATTTGCAGCAAAGTTTGACCTTTGTGCCTCCCAAAAATAGTATGTCAAAAGGATGGTCCTTCCTTTGACACTGCTATTACTGTAAACTCTTTCACTCTCTTGAAAATGTTTATTGCTTTAAAAAGCAATGATTAGACATTTAATAAAACCCAAATATATGAAAGTGAATTTATACATTTTCTTTGATCTTGAGAATTTACAACAAAAACAGTAAACACTATTTATTTATTAGATTATTTATTTATAAAAAATAATTTTATATTTACAACATTCTAAAAATGTGAGCCAAATAATACAATGCGATGGTCATCCTTTATCAATTTTTCATCTGTGGTTCATAGACTTTATGAAGTGCAGTACTAGATTGGCAGCTAGGTCTCATCATTTTACAATTGAAATGGCTAGATGTAACCGTAAGTTCTATGCTAAAAGCTTCTTCTATTGCACTTCTCGCTTGTAGAACTCTCTTCCAGCTTCTTGCTTTCCAGTCAAGTTTGATCTTTAATGTCAATTGATATCTACTGTCTGATTAATTCTTCTTTTATTGTTCACACTCCTTAATAGTAGTATTTCTCATATTCTAACACTCAATATTCCATTGCATCTTTGTGGCTTTATTGCCTTTCTTAGGGGGAAATGATTAAAAAAAATGCTGTTTTTGCTTAGTGTGAAGTCTCTTTATATTTATAGAATTTGCAGCCAAGTTTGACCTTTGTGTCTCTCAAAAACGATGTGTCAAAAGGATGGTCTTTACAGCTTCAGCTTTGATCTTTAAAAATTGGAATGCAATGTCAATCGTCATCTTCTGCCTTTTTAATTCCTGAGCTTTCATTGTCCTCTCTTCTTAATAATATTTTTTTTCTATTTCTCATATTCTTTTGCTTCTTTGTAGATTTATTGTCTTCCTTGGAATGAATGGATTAAAAAAAATCCCATCGTTCTAAGATCGCTAGCAGGTAGTCACATACGAATATATAACCGAATGGGTAAAAATACGTAGCTCTGTGAGCGAGCAATCGTATACAAATACATATAATTTCTCTATAGTGTAAAAAAAAAAACTCAATGTTAAGTAACAGTGCTATTCAATACAGGCTGTCCATAAAGTTCGTGCGCACTTTAAAACATTATAACTTTATTAGTATTTGCGATAGAAATAATTTGTAAAAAGGATTAGAAAGAAGTAAATCTATATTTTTTAAGGTTTTATTGAAATTTTATTGAAATTTCCACATGTCCTCCATCATTAGCAATATAAAGGGTAATACGATTTTGCAGTTCACGGAAAATATTTGCCAACTGATTTACAGTGATGCCTGAAATCACATTAGTTATTTTAGCTATACTTAAAACTAGGTACATTAAACTTTATAATATTTTTTACAGATTATTTCTATCGCTAATACAAATAAAGTTATAAATTTTTTAAAGTGCACACAAACATTATGGACACCCTGTATATATATATATATATATATATATATATATATATATATATATATATATATATATATATAACATCTGATATAAATTGCGCAACTCTGAGTTTCATGCTGAAGCAATTTTCAAGTGATGCAATTATTAGATTTATTTTAATTATATGTTGTGTCGACACCGTTTTTTTTTCGTTTTTTTTTTTGGTTCCCGCGTAATATATTATTGTTGGGCGCGTAATATTGGCGGACTTAAAATATTTAGATGAATTGTTGTTTAATTTTTAAATTTAGCTCAGATTAAAAATTTAAGATTGAAAATGAGGCTGAAAATAAAGAGTATCAATAAACCAGAAAATTAAAAAAAAAAACGTAACAATAATATTTGTTGAAATATTTTAACGCCACTTGAAAAATGCTTCGACATGAAACTCTGAGTTATGCAATTTATGTAACATATCATGTATATTGCTTAATATATATATATATATATATATATATATATATGTGTGTGTGTGTGTGTGTATGTACATATATATATATATATATATATATATATATATGTGTATATATATATATATATATATATATATATATATATATATATATATGTATATATATATATTTTGAACAATAAAAAAATTTTTAAAAATTAAAATCTTTACACACACTAGGTTGTAGATTAATATTCTTTCGTTTTTTTTTTTTATTATTTCATTTGGATTCCTCGACTAGTTTCGACCAAAATGGCCATCATCGGGAGGAGAAATATTTCTGCTTGCTGGTAGCAGTAAACTACAGAAATGAATGTCTTACTGGAGAAAATGAACTTTTGTCTGTAGTTTTCATTTGTTTTTTTTAATTATTTTTATCTTTTTAACATGAATCTTTTAACAATTCTTGTGTTGGTCAAACAGTCTCTTTTAAGTTGTTATTTGAGATAAGAGCTGGATAGATACATGCTTCTCTGAATTCTCTGGTCAGTTTGACAGTTTTATTGGACCTGGTGAGGGATGTCTCTGTTTAGTGTTTGTGTGTGTTTTTTTGGTTCTTAGGGGTGAGTGAGTATGATATGTGTGGCGTGTATATTGCTGTGGGTGTGTGTTATCATTTGGCTCATTAGG